AGCAGCCCTACACCATGGAGCAACCTCAAACATGGAGCAGTCCTGCACCATGGAGCAGTCCTACAGCATAGAGCAGCCCTACAACAAGGAGAAACTCCACACCATGGAGCAACCTTACACCGTGGAGGTGCCCTACAACATGGAGCAATCCTACACCATGGAGCAACCTCAAATATGGAGCAGTCCTGCACCATGGAGCAGTCCTACAGCATAGAGCAGCCCTACAACAAGGAGAAACTCCACACCATGGAGCAACCTTACACCATGGAGCAACCCTACACTCTGAGCAGCTCCATCCCACACCCCCAGATCCCATCCCCAGCCCCATGGCAGCGGCTGGTGCTGCTGGAATCTGTCCTCGTGGGGCTGTGGGGTGTCTGTGGGGCTGGGGCTTCACCTCCCCCTGTGCCAGCCTGTCCCTGTGCCCACAGGGACTCTCCCCATGTGCAGGGCTGGAATCCAGCACTGGCCTCGAGACTCTTCAGCAAGAAATCCCCAGTTCCCACTTTGGCCCAGCCTTTTTCTCCTTTAGAGAAACAAATGATTTGTGTTTGTACAACTTAGCATGAGTTTGGAGCTAAGAGATCCCCAGGGCTTCCAGCAGAAAGGATCCAAGGTAAGGGCTTGGGGCTTGGGGGAAAGGAGGAAAAAGCATTTCTGGGCTTCAGGTGAGTTTTTTATTCTTCCTTTTTCATATTTTTTATTGAAAACATTGTGATTTAACAAGTACAGACGTTGTTGAACATAAATAAATAATGTGGAGAACTGGGACATGCGAAGCTCCGTGATTGCATAAATATTCAACTGCAAAAGAAATATAAGATTTCAAAGGTGCAAACCTAATTATGGAGTTGTTATCTCTCCCCCTGTAGTAATTCAAACATAAAGCACAGTTCCCTGTGGGCTGCTGGGACCACGTGGCAGGGCTGAAATGCTGAACCTGGAGAATGCAGCATCCTGGCCCAGCTCGGGCTCCTCTCACCCTCTCAGCTCAGCCAAACGGAGGGCACAGCCTGGAGCTGTCCCCAAGGCCCCCTGGGGCTGGCAGGGCAGTGGCACCTCTGCCGTGCTCTCCCTGAAGCCCTGCTGCTGCTCTTGGTGCCCTGAGGGACAATGTGACACTGGTGGCAGACCCACCCCGTGCTCCTTTGGGAGGTTTCTGCAGCAGCTCTGGGGCATTGCCATTAAATCTGTCCCCTGCCACCTCCTCTGCAGGCTCCTGCCCAGCCTGGCAGTGATGGGCACATGGTGTCCCTAATGTCCTGGAGGTGACTCTGTCCTGGGGAAGCTCCCGTGGGCTGGGAGATCCTTCAGGTCCCCTTGTTGCTCTGCAGAGTCTACAAGGAGCCCAAAGCTCTCAGGATCACAGAGTTATTGAGGTTGGGAGGGACCTCTGGAGCTCACCCAGTCCAACCCCTCTGGTGGCAGGGCCACCAGAGCAGGTGGCACAGGAACACATCAGGTGGAACACATCCAACAGAGACACTCCAGGCCTCCCTGGGCAGCTGCTCCAGGGCTCTTCTGCCTCCATGGGAAGAATTTTTTCCTTTGAGGTGGAAATTCTCGTGTTTTGGTTTATGACCATTGCTCCTTGTCACTGGCACCACTGAACAGCCTGGCCCATCCTCTGACTGCCCCTGGAGATGTTTGTGTGGCATGGTGGGGTCCCCTCTCAGCCTTCCCTCCTCCAGACTGACCAGGCCCAGCTCCCACAGTCTCTTCTCATCAGAGAGAATCTCCAGACCCCAAATCGTCCTTGTGGTCCCTCTCCAGTAGCTCCTTGTCTTTGTCGTGCTGAGGAGCCCAGAGCTGGACACAGAAACTCATCCAAGTTTTACTGCCAGCCCCGTTATCCCAGGATTTCTTCATTATTGTCTCTACAGCCAAGAAAAAAAAGAAAAAAGGACTAAAAATAAAAACCCACAACAAATTCCTTTTACCGTGGGACAGCTGGGGGAGGGATGCAGGTCCTGGGAAAATTTGGGATGGGGTTGCTGCTCCAGCACAGCCACCTGCACTGCTGAGGAGAGGGGCAGAGGGTCTGCAGACAGCTTTTTGGGATCCAGGTTAGGGGAACCCAAAAAGCCAGAGCCCTGGGATGGCTGCATGACTCCCGATTTGGGATTTGGGATCCTGCTGCCCCTGCCAGCGCCATCCTGCAGGACAACAGCACCATCTGCTGCTGCCGGAGCCGCGCGGGCTCGGGCTCCTGTGCCGCCGAGCTGGGCTCGACCCCAACCCTGCGGGCAGGGCTGGCACCCGCAGCTGCCCCACAGCCACGGGGACATGGGGACAGACATGGGGACATGGGGACATGGGGACAGACATGGGGACATGGGGACATGGGGACAGACATGGGGACATGGGGACATGGGGACAGACATGGGGACATGGGGACATGGGGACAGACATGGGGACACGGGGACATGGGGACATGGGGACATACATGGGGACATACATGGGGACAGACATGGGGACATGGGGACATGGGGACAGGAGCTCCTGTCCCAGCAGGCAGGGCTGTGGCCGGGCACATCCCGGGCTGGGCAGCACGAACGCTGGCACCACCACACGGAGAGAAGAGAGGTGTGAAGGCGTTGGAGTGTGCAGAGGGGGCACAGGGTGGGGAGGGGGCTGGGGGGCACTGGGGCTGTTCAGAGGGCAGAGCTGCGCGCTCTGCGCTGGGACAAGGACAGGAGCCGAGGCTGCAGCTGGGCCAGGGCAGTTGGGGATGGATTTCAGGAGCAGAACCCGGCTCTTGTCAAACTCTGCCGGGGGGTCCCCGGGGGATTCAGGCTGTGCCGGCGTCCCCAGGTCACGGTCCCGCTCCGTGTCCCCGCGGGGTGGCAGCAGGGACCGCACGGAGAGAGCACGGAGAGAGCAGAGAGAGCACGGAGAGAGCACGGGGAGAGCAGAGAGAGCAGAGAGAGCACGGGGAGAGCAGAGAGAGCAGAGAGAGCACGGGGAGAGCAGAGAGAGCAGAGAGAGCACGGGGAGAGCAGAGAGAGCAGAGAGAGCACGGGGAGAGCAGAGAGAGCAGAGAGAGCACGGGGAGAGCAGAGAGAGCAGAGAGAGCACGGGGAGAGCAGAGAGAGCAGAGAGAGCACGGGGAGAGCAGAGAGAGCAGAGAGAGCACGGGGAGAGCAGAGAGAGCAGAGAGAGCACGGGGAGAGCAGAGAGAGCAGAGAGAGCACGGGGAGAGCACGGAGAGAGGAAAGAGAGAGCACGGAAAACGGAGAGAGCACACAGAGAGCACAGAGAGCGCACCGGGAGTGCTCAGGCACAGCCGGCCACGGGGTGCGGAGGGTCCCGGGGAGCTGAGCCTGCCCGGGGAGGGGGCACGGGGCAGCTGGGGAGGGGGATGCGGCCCCAGCCTCTGCCTGCACCCAGCAGGAGGGAATCCCCTTTTCATTCTAGGAGGGATCCCACTTTCATCCCGGGAAGGATCCCCCATTTATCCCGGGAGAGATCCCCCTTTCATTCCAGGAGGGATGCCCCGTTCATCCCGGCAGGGATCCCCGTTCATGCCGGCAGAGATCCCACATTCATCCCGGCAGGGATCTCCGTTCATCCCAGGAAGGATCCCCCTTTCATCCTTCAGGGATCCCCGTTCATCCCATCAGGAATTCCCCTTTCATCCCATCGCACACCCAGCCCACGGATGGCCCCACGGGACGTGCCCCAGCCGCGGAATGTCCCTGGCAGTGCCCAGCTCCTGCTGCCTGACCCTTCCTGCTCCCTTCCTGCTCCCTGGGGCAGGACGGGGTGTCAGGGGCACCGCAGGGAGCACGGGGCAGGTTTGGGGGGCTGGAATGGGGACAGCCCCGTGCTGGGGCAGCCTGAATCCCCAGCAGGGCAGGAGCAGCTCAGCTCAGCCTGGGGATGGTGCAGAACCAGGGTGGGAAGTGGATCCTGCTGCAGCTGAAGTGAAACCTTCCCTTTTATGCTCCTTTAGGGGAAAAACAAACTTTCCCCCATGGACCTCATCTTCTCACCTCTCCCAGTTGTAGAGAATCTATTCATCTGCCTCAAGAGATGCTCCTGGACACCCCAAACACCAGGTTCCTCTGGCTGCTGGTTCCCAGGTGCGTGGGCAGTGTTCACCTGGCTGTGCCAGGGCCACTGTGCCCAGGTAACTCATGCACAGTGAGGGGAGCCTGAGCTCAGCCCACCCTGCCCTGCCCTGGCCTAGAGCCTCCTGCCCTTCCCAAAAGCTCCCCAGCCTGTCCCAGGGCCACCACTGCTGCCACAGCTCTGCAGGGAGCTGAGCTGAGGGACCTCAGCCAGGTTCTTGTCTTCCTGCCCACACCTGGGTGAGGTGCTGGCCCCTGGTGCTGACCCTCCCCTTCCCCTTTCAGCCCCTTGTGCTGCCTCTGTGCCAGCCTTGAGCCCTGTGGGTCACGCCCATGCCCAGGAGAGCTCCACAGCCTCTTCCCACCCTGTCCCACCCCAGCCAGGGCTGTGCTGCAGCTTTTCCACTGCAGCAGTCCCTCAGGGATGGAGCTTCCAGCCCTGGGCAGCAGCAGTGGCACTGCTGGGCCTTCCCTGCACCAGGCAGACCCACAGTGCTCTGGGAGGGGACTGGGGTTTGGCTGGGGGCTCCTGAAAGGAAGCAGTGTTTCCAGAAGCGCCTCTCTGTTCCCATCCTCCTCGCTGTAATGGACTCAGGATGGTAATTAATAGATAATTGCTAATACCTCGCATCCCTCTAATGCTCGCTGATGAGCTTCAAAGCACTTTGCAGTCTCTGGCTACGATTCCTTGCTCTGAGAGGGCAGAAATTGCACTTCGGAGATGTTTCAGGAACTCGCTGGCGATCCAAGGCTGGAGCAGCACCAAGCCCGGCGCTGGGCTGCTGCTGCAGGCGCTGCCCTGCCCTGCGCTGCCTCCCCCAGGCTCCTCCGCAGCCCGGCCAGCCCCACCGGGCAGGGCCACAAGGAGTTAAAGCCCGTCCTGATGGGCTGGTGAGATCATCGGAGCCGGGATGCTCCGTTGTTTATTAGACTCCCGGAGCCCAGCAGGCACCAGCCCGGCGATGTGGGGCTGGGGGTGAGCCTGCCTCGGGACCAGGGCGTCCTGCTGCAGCCAGCGCTCCCTGCTCGCCGCGTAAGTACCGCGGGTGGGCCGGGACCGGGCCAGCCCGGCGAGGGGGGCTCGCCCTCTGCCTCAGCCCCACTCCGGGTGCTCCCTGCCCCGTGCCCCGGGCAGTGCTGGGGAGCTGCTCCCGAGGGATGCAGGCACCTGCTCCGCCCCACCAGCCAGGGGACTCTGCCCCTGGCTCCATCCCGGAGGGTTCGGAGGGTTTGGAGGGGGGTGAGATCCTCTGACACCCCGCAGGGTCTCGGGGCAGCACCCGCCACCCTGCAGGGCCAGCAGCTGGCTCCGGGGTGAGCAGGGACACGGGGACAGCAATGGGGCTCCAGCGCCCACCCCTGGCACCCACCAGCTCCCTGTCCCCTCCCAGGCCGAGCCAGCAGAGCCCAGCCCTCCTGGGCTGGCACAGGGCAGCGCCAGGCTGGAGCTGCTCCCAGCTGTGCCCAGGGACTGCCAGTGCCACCAGGCAGCTGCAGCCACCAGCCCCAGCAGAGGCGGGGACAGCAGAGCCGTGGGGGTGGCTCAGCCCTCCCTCCCTGGCCTTGGGTGCTGTTCCACTCTGGGGTTTGGGTGCTGTGCCCCCAGCACCTCCCCACGGGCAGTGCCCGGGCACAGGGGGCTGTGGGGCTGCTCTGCACGGGGTCCTCATCTTCATCTTCATCTTCATCTTCATCTTCATCTTCGTCTTCCTGGGTTTCCTGGGTCCCTGAACGTTCCTCTCTGTCTCTCGCTGGGCACTGACTGAGAGCCACTCTTGGTTGAACTTGGCCAGCACGAGCACCCCAGGAAAGCTTTCTGCTGGGTTTGTGCCCACCCCTGAGTGCAGCAGCCCCCTCCCCTCCCGTTCCAGGGCACGGGGATCCCCCAGAGCAGCAAACCCCTTCTCCTGGCACCCACAGACCTGCTGCTGTCACCTGGGGGCTCCTGGGGTGACACTGAGCACCAGCACCAGGTAAAGAATCCAACTGAGACACTCAGAGCAGCAGGGAAATCTTTCCCTCCGTTCCCCAGGGTTTTGTTTCACTCCCAGCTGGGACCCAGACGGGCTCTGCTGCCCGTTGGGGTGACAGGCTGGGGACATCCCTGCTGAAGGACAAGCCACCCCTCTGGGTCCCACCCTCCCGGGGCACTGGAGCTGCTCCTTGCCAGGAGAGCATCACCAGCCATCCAGGGGCCCCTGGGAGCCCCAGGGAGCCGTGGGGCTTGGGAAGGGCCTGGGGACCCTGCGTGAGGGGCAGGACCTCGGTGTCACCCAGCCAGGTGGGGGGGCCTGTGCACACCTGTGCACACCTGTGCAGGGGATGAGCTGCCACGCTCCCAGTGCCACCAGTCTGGGGCGCTGGTGCCAGGCAGAGCAGAGCTGTTTGTGCCCTGGCAGGGTCTGGCCAGGTCTGGGCTGGGCTCTTTGCTCCTCCAGCAGGGATCAGGGCAAGCCCCATCTGTGGAGTGCAGAGCTCGCTTGGGGTTGGCCCCAAAATGTTCTCCTTGAGCCCAGACTGATTCCCAGAGGGATGAGGGGCTGCAGCCCCAGCCCAGGAGCCCCCAAGGGGGCTGTGCCTTGGCACGGGGGTCCCCAGCAAGGAGTCCCCCGAGATTTCAGAACCCAAACCTCACCGCACAAGGCACTGGAAGAGCAGAGGGAGGAGAATCCCAGGAGGGTCTCCCTGAGGGAGAGGGGAAGGAGAGACCCCAGCAGTGAGAGCTGCCCAGGGCTTCAGAACTACCAGATGTGAAATCTGAGACGTGCTCTGGAGGCGTTTTCAGGACAGCAAAGACTCATCTGCTGATTGTCTGCTTCCAACAATGGTTAAAAATCCGGGAGAAATCCGATAGCCCTCTCCTGCCAGGCCTCTCAGCGCATCCAGAGCACATCTGTGATGGACTGGGGATGGAGCAGGGGCAGAGCAGCAGCTGGAATTGCATTAGCTCTCCCAAGAGCTGCAGATCCTCCCAAGCTCCAGGCAGGGAGTGAAATCCTTCATTAGGCAGCAGTGGGCAAAAGGGTGACCGAGAACCAGGCTCTGCCAGGAAGTGCTGGGAAAATGAGCAGGGCCTGGGAATTGTGGTGAGAGGGGCGGTTCTGCCAGGAAATAAAAGGGGGAATAAATCCTCTCTGATGGAGAGGCTGGTTCCTGCAGCAGCCTGACATTAATGCTGTGCACACAGAGCTGCTGCCCTGATGCAGAAGCAGGATGGCAGCACACAGGGAGTGGGACGCATGAAGGATGGAACAGCACATCGAGTTTTGGGCTGCTGAGGTGTGGGATTATCCCAGAGAATAAAGCAAACTTCCTAGCACAACACCAAAATAAAATCAGACAATGGTGTGAGCATAAAACCTCTCTGTGATGCACGTGAGGAGGGCAAAGACAAGAAATGCCAGGATGAAATTTCAGGGAAGGTCTGGGGTGCACTGGAACAGGGAGAGCAGAAGGCAGCAGTGCTCCGAGTGAGGCAGAGGGTGGCACCTGGAGTTACCCAGGGTTTGGGCACTTCCCTGCAGAGCTGCAGCTGGGAGGCTCAGGGCGGGCACAGCAGGAATTTCCCCATGGAAAGGGGGCCCAGGCCTTGGAACTGCCCAGGGAGGGTTGGAGTGCCCATCCCTGGAGGTGCCCAGGAATCCCTGGAGGTGGCACTGAGTGCTCTGGGCTGAGGACAAGGTGGGGATCAGACACAGCTGGCACTGGAAGGGCTGAGGGGGCTTTTCCAGCCTAAAGGATTCTGGGATTCTCTATCAGGAATGTGCCCCTTGCCCTGCCCCTGTTTTCCTGTTTCAGCAGAGAGCGGTGAGAGCTCCAGACACGAGGGTTGCAAATCCTGTCCACCTCTCTTGGCTTTTGTTTTGTGCTTGTTTGTCCAAGCCTGGCAGAAACACCCTGAAACACCCCAAAAGATGTCAGCACCACCAGCTCTGCAGCAGCAGCTGTGCTGGGGGGGCTAAATTGTAAAATTACATCTGTGCCTCCTCAGAGTAACCAGGGAGCTTGGCAGGGACACGGGAGCAGTGAGGGAGGTGCTGGCTGGCACCCCTCCATCAGCATCCCTCGGTGGGCACTGGGCCCAGCTCTGCCCAGCTCTAGGCAGGTTTCCTCCAGCCCCTGGAGCTGTGCCAGCCTTGCAGCCTCAGCCCTGACATGGAGCTTGCTCCCGCATGGATCAGCAGCTCCAGGACAAGAGCTGGGGCTGGAGGGCTCTGGGGTCACCTCCTGCACTCCTGCCCTGGCACAGGCAGGCAGCAAAGCCAGCCTGGCATCCCCTGCGAGGTGGCAGCTCCTGGAGAGGCAGCCCTGCTGAGCAGAGCAAACACAGCCGTGAGGGGCTGCAGGGGCTTGGGTCCCCTGCTCTGGGTCAAAGCCCGCGGGGGCTGAAGGTTTGTGTGGTGCTGAGCTGGGCATTGCAGTGCTGGCACTGCCCACCCTTCTGCAGATCCCATCGCCTGTTCCACCATTTCATGGCTGTGATGCTCTCCTTTCCCCGCAGGGACCCCAAAACCTCCTGCACCTCCATTCAGGCTGCGCTCCCTGGTGCCCACAGGCGAGCACCCTCCCTCCTCCACCACTTGCCCTGCTCTGCTTTCTCTTCTGCCCACCCCAGGTGCCCTTTGTCCAGCCCAGCACCATGGAGGTGCCCCCCAAGAGCCCCGATGGCAGCGAGAAGTCCCCTCAGTCCAAGGAGCTGATCACCAGCAGCACGGGCAGCACGCTGTGCATCAGCTCCTGCAGCGAGTCCGTGTGGACCAGCGCCCCCAGGAGCAAGTGGGACATTTACCACAAGCCCCTCATCGTGGTGTCCGTGGGAGTGGCCATCTTCCTCTTCGGGGTGGTCATCACCAGCCTGGCCTGCTTCCTGACCAAGCACAAGAAGGTGTACAAGATGTCTGGCCCGGCCTTCCTGTCCCTGGGACTGATGCTCCTGGTGTGCGGCCTGGTCTGGATCCCCATCATCCGCAAGAAGCAGAAGCAGAGGCAGAAGTCCCAGTTCCTGCAGAGCCTCAAGTCCTTCTTCTTCAACCGCTGAGGGCAGCCAGGGCCTTCTCCAGAAGGTTCCCTGCCCTCCTCCAACCCGTGCTGATCAGCCATGAAAACAAACAATTTCTTGTTCTCCCTAGAGGATTTCACCCCATCAGTTCTTCCCTCCGTGGTCCCCAGTGTGAAAATGAACTCTGTACCTCATCCCAGGGAAAAAGGAGCAGGAATTTTCAGCTGAGCCCAGCAAGGCAGGTCCAAGGTCTCTGCATCACCCCCCTGCCCAAAGAGTGACCCAAGAGCACAAACTGGGTAAAGCACAGCCCCAGAGGAGCCTGGGCTGAAACAAAACCCCAGAGGGACCCAGATCCCCCAGGAGGCTCTGCAGGATCCACCGGCAGAGAGGAGCCACAATTCCTTCCAGCTCCCTGATCTGCCTGAGGGGCTGCAGGGTCTGCACAGCATCAGGAGACACAGCAGAAGCAGAGGGACACAGACCCTGCAGAGAGTCCCAGATGCTACAGGGGGTTCCAGATCCTACAGGGGATCCCAGATCCTGCAGAGGGACGCAGATCCTACAGGGGGTTCCAGACCCTGCAGAAGGTCCCAGACCCTGCTGCTCCAGGCACCTGGCAGGGCAGGGACAAGGGAAATGTGTCTGGGAATGGTCTGAGCCGTGGGAGCTCAGAGCTGAGGGCTGATGCCCTCCCAGGAAACTCAGCCTCCCCCTGGCCATCCCTGCCTGAACTCCCCCATTTCTGGCACACATCTCTGCCTGAAGCTGTGCTCCAAGGAGCCTTTCTGTGTCCCAGCCTGGCTGGCAGGGAGCTCGGGCTCACCCTGGCACTGGTGCCAGCCTGTGACCAGGGCTGTGTGCCTGGGCATCCCCTCCATCCTCTCCATGATCCGTGTGGGCAGAGCTGGAGGTGGCACAGCTGCAGTAGGAGTGTTTGAGCACACGAGTCGCTTTGCCCCAGGCTCAGCCTGGCCCTGGACTCTGTTTCCTGACTGGTGCAGACACCCCTGGGCAGGCAGTGCCAGCTTCTCTGTGCCAGAGCTGGCACAGGAGCCAGCAGAGCTGTTTGTTCCTCAGCCACCCTCGTGCCGTGCCACGCTCGGCTGCTGTTCACAGTCCTGCCCTGGCACCGAGCAGCCTCTGCTCCTCCACTGCCACGGGCAGGGATGCTCCCCAAAACCCCCGCTGGGGCAGCTGCAGCCAGAGGGGCACCAGGATTCAGGGTGGGAATCACGGAGCAGCCCCGGTGCCAGCTGGCTGCAGGTGTGGGCACGGGGGCTGCGCTGGGCAGAGACCTGGAGCTGGGTCCTGCTGCACAGAGCTGTGCCCAGCAGGGCTGCTCCTGCACTGCCAGGAGCACACAGGGAGCCCCGGTGCCCCTGGCCAAGGAGGAGGCACTCAGTGAAACGTCGGTGGGACAAAAAGTCACCGAGAGCAGGAATTGGGTTGGATTCCAGACTGGTCACTGGTAACACGAATGTGAGGTTTCATTAAAGGAAAACGTTCCCAAGGGCTGCTGTGCTCACATCTCTGCTGTGTGGAGAGGGTGAGGTGACAGGGTTTGGGGTGTGGGGCACCCGCTGGGCTGGCTCAGGACAGGGGCAGGACAAGGAGAGGGGCTGGGGCTGGGAGAGGAGTGAGCACTGTGCAGGGGTCAGGAACCTGCCTGGCAAGGGGATGGAGCCTGCCAGGGACAAGGGAACACCAAGGAGCAGCAGAGCCTGGGGAGAAAAGGATTTGTCAGATGAGCTGTGTTTGCTGCCCAGATCTGTGGGGACAGGGACACAAAGGGACAGGAATGTTAGGGGAAAATCAGATTAACAGGTGGGGAATAACTGAGGGGAAATCAGATTAATGGGGGAAAATGACTGAGGGGAAAGTCAGATTAACAGCAGGGGGATAACTGAGGGGAAATTCAGATTAACAGGTAGGAGATAACTGTGGGAAAGTGAGATTAACGGAGGGAGACAACTGAGGGAAAGTCAGATTAACAGCAGGGGAATAACTGCAGGTGAAGTGCAGGAGCAAAGTGGGATCTGCCCCTCGGTAGCACAGGGTATAAATTCCTGGTCACTCACTGCCAGGGGAGGAGGGAATTTTGCATTGGAGCTCCCAACAGTGGGAATTGTGTCCTTTTCTTGAAGTGAGCTGCAGCAATTTAGGGGAAGAAAGATGCAGGATAACCTGAGGGCTCCTCACAAGGCTTTCTTAAGGAGCTGGCATAAAATTCACACCCTGCTGTGGCCCAGCAAAACCCCACAGGTTGCTGGGAACTGAATGTCAGGTGTGCTGTGGCAGGGCTCACCCAGTGAACCTTTACCTGCTTGGGATGTGGGAGGCTGCAGAGACAGGCAGTATCTGTGGATTTAAACGGTTTATGGAGAACAGATTTTAAAAAAGGAGACAGTAGAAGCAAGAGAGAAGATTGTGCCATTTGAATTCCACAGCCCAGCAGCGGTGGGTGCTGGAGCAGTCCGTGAGGAGCAGGTCCCAGGAGGCTGCAGAGCTCTGCTGTGCCCTCCTGCCACTGCTGGGCAGGGCAGGGCTGGGCTGGATGGACCTTGGACCAGCCCGTGGGGCAGCTCCCACCCCTGGGCTGCTCCCATGCACCTCCAAGCCCTGGCTGGCTGCTCCCTGCTAGTCCTCTTCACTCCCACTGAATTCTCTTTGGATCCTGCCGTGATGCTTTGGATCAGACCAAAGAAAAACACGTTTAGAGGAAAGATCAGGTTTTCCAGCAAACGTAATTATGTCTCACCCAAGCAAGCTCAGATGTGGTCTGCCAGCTATAAAAAGAACAGGAAATCCATTACAAAAGTCATTATCTCTGCAGAGCAGCTCGAGGAGGAAATATTGGCCCTGCATCTCAAAGGTCAGGCAGCAAACCCGCCCGGCAGGCTCGGGTGGAGAACGCCCTGCTCCAGGTGTCTGAGCTGCCTCATTCCTGGGCTTCCACAGCACCAAACCTGCCCAAAGGTGGGCACAGCCCTGCGGCAGACCCCTCTCTGAGGGTCTCACACCCTGCCTGAGTTCCAGGACCTCAGAGGTTCAAAGAGGACGGGAGGAGGACTGGGGACAAGGCATGGAGGGACAGGACCCAGGGAATGGCTCCCACTGCCAGAGGCAGGGCTGGATGGGATATTGGGAATGAGGAATTGTTCCTTGGCAGGGTGGGCAGGCCCTGGCACACCTGTGGCTGCCCCTGGATCCCTGGCAGTGCCCAAGGCCAGGCTGGACAGGGCTGGAGCACCTGGGGCAGTGGGAGGTGTCCCTGGGACAGTGAGAGGTGTCCCTGCCATGGCAGGGGTAGAATTGATGATCTCTAAAGTCCCAAAACCAACCCAAAGCATGCCATGATTCCAGGGTCTCAGGCACACTCACCCTTGGGGCAGTCAGGTTTCTGCAGCTGCTGGGATAAATCATTGAGGTGTGGAAGGAAGAAGGTGACCACTGGTGACTGTGATCACACCTGCACATCCCCTGAGACCTTCCAGGCTCCTTCCTGACGTCCCTGAGACCTTCCAGGGCTCTTTCCTGGAAAGAGCCTCGGGCTGCTGAGGCACGAGGGTTCATGGCCCAGATTGCCCTGGCTGGCTGCGTGCCTGAGCCTGGATCTCAGCCAGGCTGCAGAGCACCCTGCTCCCCAAAACGCTGCTGCTGCTCCTCCCCGCTGGGCAGCAGGTGAGATCCCAGCAGGACGAGCTGCACTTGCCCTTCCCTCCCCAAAATCCAGCAGCTTTCCCTGTCCTCAGTGAGAGCAAACACCTGACGGGCTGTCAGTGCCCACAGTGGGTTTGAAACCCCAAAAACCCTTCCCTGTTTCCACCCTGTGGTGGGCACGTGGAAGGTGGAGAAGGAACAGGTTTTTCCCGGCTGCCCAGGGCAAGGAGCTGCTCAGGGAGCAGAGGGTTTGCTCAGAGCTGTGTGTGTGTGTTTGGGAGTGGCAGGAGGGACCAGGCTGGGATCAGGCTGGGATAAGGTTCGGATAGGGCTGGGATAAGGTTGTGATAAGGTTGGGATAAGGTTGGGATAGGGCTGGGATGAGGTTGTGATAAGGTTGGGAGGCAGGAAGGACAAGGCTGGGATAGGGCTGGGATAGGGCTGGGATAACATTGGGGTAAGGCTGGGATAGGGCTGGGATTGGGCGCAGCCTCCCCTGCCCTCTGTGCACAGTGAGGCTGGCAGCAGGAGCAGCGTGCCTTTGAGCACCCTGGCAGCAGAGGACACAAGGGATGTCCTCTGTCCCCTGCAGCCACCCTCACCCGTGGCAGGGCTGTGCTGGGGCTGCCCAGGTGGCACAGGGGCCCTGGGTGCCCTGCTTTGGCAGGAGACACTCACGGTGTGACCAAGGCCACCTCCAGTCCCTGACCCTCACCCTGCTCCATCCCTGACCCTCACCTTGTGTCCTACAGGCCTGTCCTGAGCGTGGGACATCCTCTGCAGGGCCAGGGTGGGACAGGCAGCTTTGGGATGGCTCTCCCAGAGCCCAGGGCTCCCTGGATCCTTCACCTCCACATCCTTCCCCAGCTTGCCCAGAGAAATGTCCCAGTGTCACCCCACAGCCTGGGAGCAGAGAGCAGCACACACCTGCACCCCAAAGTGTCACCCTGGCTGCTCCAAGACCAGCAGGAGATTTTGGCTGACGTGGGCACTCCTCCCTGGCCTCCTGCTGTCCCATTTTGGGATGGGCAGTGGCACAGGCTGCCTGCTGGTGGCTGTCCAGCAAGAGAAGCTCTTTGGAGGCGCTGCAAATGTCTTTTTGGTGATGGCATTCTGGAGAAATTCCCGTGCCTCAGTTTCCCTGTCCATAGTAGGGTGTTTCCAGCTTGTTCCTGGGGTGTCAGAGCCAAGGCCCTGCAGACCTCCCTGGGATGCTCCACGGTGGATGCTGCCCAGAAGTGACAATTCCGTGTCTCACACCCCATGGCGGGGGGCTGGGGCAGGGCAGATTTGCACCTTTGGGACAGGCTGGATGTGGAACAGCTGAACCTGGCTGACCACAGGGGCTCCCAGGGACCCCCCGGGCTGCGCTGGCCAGGCAGGGGCAGGGCCAGCAAAGGGTTAAAGCCGTGTCGTGCGCTCCCTGATTGTTCTCAAGGTGTGTTGTGACATTTGTACTTCCTCTTGGCAGGGCGAGCAGGCAGGGAGCGGGGCAGGGCAGGGATGCTGCGGCCCCCCGCACCCTGAGGGGCACCATGGGCACCCTGAGGGGCACCATGGGCACCCTGAGGGGCACGGCGGGGCTGCTGGGGCGCTGCCCTGCCATCGCCCTGCTGGGGCTGCTCTGCGACGCCCTGGGGCTCCTCTTCCTCCTCCTGGGCATCTTTGCTCCCATCAGCTCCTGGGATTTCTTCGTTTACGGGGGGGCCCTGCTGCTGGCCTTCAGCCTCGTCTTCTGGGTCTTCTGGTACACCTTCAACATCGAGGTGCCCCTCGGGGAGCTGCAGTGCAGATGAGCACGGCAGGAGCTTGGTCCTGCCCTCCTGGCAGCGCCCAGAACGTGGAGAGAGCCAAGGGATGGCACCTGGCACCACAAGACACGACACGGACACCCTGCTCCCAAGGTAAAGAAAAAAGGGACTTTTTATTTTCTGACTCCAATATTTATAGATTTCCAGAGGTGGCAGTGGATTGGAGGGTGACAGTGCCACCTCTCCAATGACACCAGACAAACCAACAATCCATCAAATTTCTTCTCTTCCATAAAAGAATTCAAAACAATGAGTTATTTACAGAAAGCTCGTTACAAGAATATAAACATCAGAAGGCTTAGAAAATCCTAAAGAACCAGGGTACCCACAGCATGCACGGGGGTGCTTGGCTGGCGTGGGGGATGCAGAGCTCCTGGCAGAGCTTCCTGCTGCCCACAGGAGCTCTCAGGAGCAGTGGGGGATGCTGGAGTGCTCTGGGCTGGATCAACCAGCAGGAAGCTGGTTTGATGGGTCACTTCATCCTGGGAGGGTTGGATGGCTGAGTTCATCCTGGGAGGGGGTTGGTGTCTGGGCTGTAATTCCTCAGTGCTTCCCATCAGATGCTGCTGGGAGAGGAGGGTCCTGCAGAGCTGCTGGTGACAGCTTTGTGCTTCGGGGGGACAAGCCACCCCTGCCCACACAGCCTGGGCACACAGGGAGGCCAAAAGGCAAATCCAGGCTGTGCCTCAGCACCAGAAGCTCAGTGTGAGGATTGAGGGAGCAAACCCAGCTGCTCCTGGGTGTCCCCATCACACCCTGAGTGCTGCCAGAGGCTTTTCCCACCCGGGAACGTTTTCCCAGGGAAAATCCAAGTGAAAGCTGTGTCACCAGGGCCCTGCTCTGGTGACAAATGCTGAACACACAGAAATGGGTACAAAGTACCAGGCCTGAACGTTGCCTCTGAGATTAGGATTTGTTGACCTCAGGCTGGTCTGGAGCCACCCAAGGGGCAGAAAGGTCAGGTCCTGCCTGGTCTCTGCAGCCTGCTCCTGCAGCCTGGGGACCACAGAGCACCAGCACAGCCCGGGAACCTCAGGGGCTCCGTCTGGGCTGAGCTGGGACCAGCAGCACCAAAGCTTAGGGGAGCTGGAGATGTCTGAGTGCTGGAGAGCACTGCTGCAGGGATGGTGTCCTCCTTCCTGCCAGCACCCAGGGATGCTCTGCTGTGAAATCAGAGAAATCAGAGAAATCAGAGAAATCAGTGGAATCCGTGAAATTGGTGAAATTAGTTAAATCAGAGAAATCAGTGAAATCAGAGAAATCAGTGGAATCCGTGAAATTAGTTAAATCAGAGAAATCTGTGAAATCAGAGAAATCAGTGAAATCAGATAAATCACTGAAACCAGTAAATCAGGAGCAGCCCCTCAGGGCTTGGCACTGCTCGTGGCAAAGGAGGTGGCAGCAGGAGGACGCCCCAGCCAGAGCCAGCTGAGGAGGACGGGTTTGAGCAGAGGATGAGGCAGGGAGGAGGCAGAGATGTGCCCAGTGGCACCAGGGTGAGGGTCAGAGCACAGCCACGGTCAGTGTGTGAGCCAGGCCAGTGACATGTCCCCACCTGTGACTCACAAAGGGACATTGCCCCGCACAGTTCCTGGAAAGCCTCTCACAGCCAACGAGATCCTTTTTTATCATTTGCTTGTTGCCCCTTGGTTTCCTCTCTTGCTGGCAGTGGCACGAGGGACAGGCGCAGGTTTTGCTGGGTGCTGGCTGCCGTGTGGCTCACGCTGCTCCACAGCCCAGGATGCCCAGGCAGGGGCTCAACTTTGCCCTCACCAGCTCCCAGGGTGTTTTTCCACCCCTGTGCCCTTGGCACTGGGTCCTGCAGCAATTTCCTTGATGTGCCTCGGGATAAGAACCCAGGACAAGCATCAGTGGGGTCGTGCAGCTGCAGAGAAGGAAGGGCAGCAGCAGCCCACACCCTCCTTTATTTGCTCGGGGATTTTTAATTGCCAGCGCCGAGCCCGTAAAACCCGGCCGAGGGCTGTGCCACCCTCCCAGCTCTGTCCCCTGGGTGTGGCACGCGGGGACAGCACCCAGCCAGCCATGGGTGTCACCCGGGGGGCCCAGGGTGAGCTCGGGGTCCCCGCGGGTCCCTCCTGCCTCCCGAGCTGAGCCTGAGGGACAAAGTGCTGCCAGCTCCTGGGACTGGCACCTGCCAGGGCTTGGGGATGGCTGGAGATGGCTGGGGATGGTCTGGGGATGGCTGGGGATGGCTGGGGATGGCTGGGGATGGCTGGGGATGGTTTGGGGAAGGTTTGGGGATGCAGAGGGGCACAGGGTGATTCCCACCCAGCAAAGAGCTGCCAGCCCTGTGCCTGGACCTGCTGGGATGGGTTCAGAGTGTAGCCAGCCCCATAGAGGAGCAGAGGCTGCCAGTGCACACCCCAGCCTGGGAAAGCAGAGCCTGGTGTCCTGCACTGCCCTGCTCACAGGTTCTCCCCTCTCTGAGTCCCAGAGGTTTGATTCCACATGATTTTACTGAGGAAATCTTTGATTTCTTAGCTATTGTCAGGGTTTTTTAAGGCATTCACATCTCCTTTCACTCTGTTCACAGGGAGAGAGGAAAGGACAGGAGAGGATGCCAGGAGGGAGCAGAGGAAGAGGAGCAGCTCCCCACAAGGACTCTGCTCTGCTGCTGTTGCACAGCCAGCACAGAAGGAGCTGTGCCACTCTGCTGGGCTGGGGACACTGGCACAGCCACTCAGGACAGCCCCTGGGGGATGGACAGACCCTGGGGGATGGACACTCTCTGAAAGGTGAACAGCCCCTGAGGAGGGATAGACACTGTCTGAAGGATGGACAGCCCCTGGGGAGGGATGGACACCCCTTTTGCCCCCTCTCCCATCAGCCTGCACTCAGCCCCTGCCCGCTGCTGGCTCCGGGGGCCCAGCAGGAGCAGCCTGGTGGCAGCAGAGCCTCCTCCCTCGGTGCTGAGCAGGGCCACAGAGCCTCAGGGACCGGGTGACAGCTCTGCCACCCTTCCTGGAGGAGTGGCATGGTCCAGCAGGGCTCCCCCTGCACACCCTGGCCCAGAGCTGCCCAGTGCCCGGGCTGGGAGCTGCTCTGTGCAGGGATGGGAGAGCCAGGCACCAAAACCAGCAGGACAGAGGATTCCCTGAGGGAAATCCGGCTGCTGGAGGAGCCAGGCCTGCTCACCCACGGTCCCAGGCACCCTCTGGGGAAATACTCAGAGACCTCAGAAATACTCCCCAGTGCCAAGAGCTGCTGGGGCTGAGCAGAGCTGCCAGGGCCAGGAGAGCATTCAGAGTCACCAAGGGTGGCTCAGCATGGGAACAGAGTCCTGGGGCACTGCAAATCCAAACTGGGGCACTGCAAATCCAAACTGGACACTGCAAATCCAAACTGGGCAGTGCAAATGCAAACTGGGACACTGCAAATCCAAACTGGAGAGGAGAGGAGCCGAGCCACTTCTCTGGGACTGTTTCATTAAAGCTGCTGCCTTCCTCCCCCCGGGACAGCCTGCCAGCCTGGCCAGAGCCACACATCCTGATGGACACAGCTGCAGCCAGGAATCGGATGGAATAAAGGGTGGAATGGATGGGATGGATGAAATAAAGGATGGGATGGATGGGATGGATGGAATGGATGGAATGGATGGGATGGGTGGGATGGATGGGATGGATGGAATAAAAGATGGAATGGATGGAATAAAGGATGGGATGCATGGAATCAAGGATGGAATGGATGGAATAAAGGATGGAATGCATGGAATCAAGGATGGAATGGATGGAATAAAGGATGGAATGGATGGAATCAAGGATGGGATGGATGGAATCAAGGGGAGCTGCCCCCGCTGCCCCCAGAGCCGCCTTGCCCGGGGGTGCAGAGGGAGCAGCCCCCCTGACCTGGCAGGGTACCCCAAACTCCTCCTGCCCCTTCAGCCGGCTCTGGGGTGGGGTGGGGGACGAGCAGGATCCGCACATCCTGGAGGAACAGGTTCTCCCAGGCGGCACAGCCCCTCCTGTGTGTCCTGCTCGGGGGTGCCCGCTCCCGGCCCCGGCCCCGGCTGGTTCCAGCGCAGCCGAGCTGCGGGGATGGGCTCCGAGCTGGGATTTAACCCTCCCAGCCCTGGCCCAGGGGTGCTTTGGGTGGGAGTCACCAGGAGCAGCTCCGGGCCAGCTCCTTGTCCTGTCCCCACCGCGGCTCAGCTGCTGTCACTCGGGGCCACCACAGGGGAGGCTGGGCTGTCCTCGGGGATGGAAAACTTTGGGGTCAAACCCTCCCATCAGGCAGGGTCCGGGTGTGGCTGGGGGTGGCAGCTCACCCCAGCAGCCACAGGCAGCAGCTGTCCCCAGGGAGATGCTCCTGAGCATCCCAGACTCCACAGCCCCTGGACTGTGCCAGGGGCTGCCAGCTCCAACCCCTGGGCACCCAAGGAGGGTTTCTAAGGAGTCTCCACACCTTAGAGTGCAGTAAAGTTACCCCAGGCTTTCCTGTCCCCCGGGGATGAACACCAGAGTCCCTCCCTCGGGCACCCCACGGGGATTCCAGACCCTGCTGGGCTCCAGCCTGGCAGGACGGGCTGCCAGGGCTCCTGTGCCAGCCCCTGGGCATGCACAGGGCATCGGTGCCCTGCAGTGCTCCAGTCAGACACAGCTCTGCCACCAGCCAGCAGACCAATCACCCTGGAGACAAGGAAAATGGCTTTGCCAGCTCCATTTCCTGCTGCAAAATGGGACAGCAGAGAAGGCAAAACCTGCCCAAAAGAAGCTCTTCCCAGAAAGGCATCGGCTGCTCTCTGCCAGCCGTTCCTGGAAGAGTGCAGACACCTCTGGTGACATTCCAGAGGGTGTTTCATGGCAGATCACTGAGTTTTTGACAAAAGCATCTGTAAGGATGGCACAGGGAAGGGTAAAGCCTGCCCAGGCTGAGTGGGTGTGACCCAGGGACCTGAATGACCCAGGGAGCTCAGTGACCCACCTGGCCCCACCCTCCTCTGCACCTCATCTTTGTCCCCTGCCAGCAGCCACAGGACAGAAATCAGCCCCTCAGCAGGGGACAGCGCCAGCCCCACCCTGTCCCCGTGATGTCTCATTTTGGGGTGCCCACCCCTGCCGTGGGCACTGGGGTGACAGTGGGGACCGAGGCTGAGCCCCTCAGGCACTGCCAAAGCTGTGGGCACAGAAACCCGCCCTGTTCTGCAACGCCAGGAGAGGAGCCTGCCCAGGGCCACGGGCTGGGCAGTGGAGAGGGGAACCTGCCATGTGCCGGAGATGGGGACAAGAGCATCTTGGCTGGAGAGCCCCAGGGATGGGGACAGCCAGGTCAGTGTCACCTCCTGTCATGTCCCCGGCTGGCCCAGCCCGGCCTATACCCAGCCCCATCCCATCCCATTCCATCCATCCCATCCCATCCCATCCCATCCCATCCCATCCCATCCCATCCCATCCATCCCATCCCATCCATCCCATCCCATCCATCCCATCCCATCCATCCCATCCCACCCCATTATCCCACCCCATTATCCCATTATCCCATTGCCCCCCCCCATCCCCTCTCCCGGCTCTCCGGGCTGGCTGCAGGCTGCAGCTCGGAGCCTCCTGCTGTTCAATAATTCATGGCCAGCTCTGGCTGATGGAGCTGGGGCTCTCTGGGGCCGCTCCCTAATGGAGCCTGCAGCCCTGCCTGCCCAGCCAGCACTCCTGGGCTGCACAATTCCCACTGCTGCCATCCCCGTGCCATCCGAGTGCCACCTCCTGCTGCTAATGACGCGTGACGCAGCCTTTGCTGGGGCTGAGCCTGCTGCCACCCTGCAGAGAGCAGGGCAGGGCCATGGCACACGCTGGCACCTGCCAGGAGGGTGACAGAGCAGCCACAGCCCAGCTGAGATCAGCCCGGGAGGAGCAGGGCACAGCTGGCACAGCTGGGGCACGGCACGGGCTGCACAGAACCCAGCTCCGGGCACAGGAGGTGGCAGGGGACACCCGGGGGTGTCCCAGCCCCAGCTGAGCCCAGCCCGGGAGCAGGGGGAGCTCTGCCCGCAGGCAGTGCCCCTGCCCTGCCAGTGCCATCGGCTGAGACCTGTGGCACAGCCCTGGCCTTGCCCGGCTGCAGGAGAGCGCTGGCTCCCTCCCCACGCTGCATTAGGCAATAATCGACAGGCAATGATTGCCCTAAGGGGCCCTGCGGGTCACCTGGCCCTGCAGCACTGGTCACGGCCTTGGGTCACCCCTGGCTGCTGCTGAGCACGCCTGGACACTGGGCAGGGGCAGGGACAGGGCTCCAGTGCCACCTGTGAGACAGGGGATGGCACACCCCAGCCCCTTCCAGCCTGGGAGGGGACAGGGGAGCAGGGCTGGGCCAGCCCAGCACGGAGGGGACTCTGATGGGAGCCAAGGGGACATGGGGACAGCGAGGATGTGGGGACAGTGAGAACATGGGGACAGTGAGGACACAGGGACAGTGAGGACACAGGGACAGCGAGGACACAGGCACAGTACCCCTGGGCACCAGGCAGCACTGCACAGCACAGCAGCTGCTGCGGGCACAGAGATGCCATCCCTGCACACCTGGCACAGCATTCCCGGTTCTCCAGCTCCTGTTCCTTGCCCACCAGGGCAGGGCTGGGGGCTCGGGGCTGCCCCTGCCAGCCCTGCCCGCCATCCCTGGCCAAGCAGTGCCACCCTGTGGGAAACAGCCTCCTCTCCTGCCGGGGTGTCCCCCTCCCCTGTGCCTGGCCCTGGCACAGCACAGGACCCCCCCAGAGCTCCACTGCAGCTCTGCCCAGTCCCCACTGCCCTCCCAAACACCTCCAGGGCTGCAGCCACCCTGTGCCACCTCCCACCTCGGGGGCTGCTGCCCTGGCACCCTGCACTGATTGACAGACACATTAATTACAGGGTTTGTGTTGAGAAATGAGGCAGGGACACGTCACAGCCAGGTCACCATTTCTTATGAAACAGGGTTTCCATTCCAGCGCGGTGTCTCAGGCACCTCTCACACGGGGTCGGGGTCGTGGCACCCCGGGTTTGGGTGGGGACACTGGGACAGGGCTGGGGCAGTGCAGGAACATCACAGGGAGCAGCAGGCCAGCAGGGCAGTGTCCCCAGCTGCGACCCCAGGGATGGCAGGGGACACTCAGCTCCCCTGCCCCACACTGCTCCCCCTCCCCAGCCCCACCTTGTCGTTACCCTGAACAGTCCTGTCCGGTCCCAAAGCCACCCTGGTGGCACTGCTGGCCCCTCAAGAGCATGGGAACCCTGGGCCAGCCCTGAGCCACACTGCCACCTCCCGTGGGGGACAGCAGGGACGTCCTGCTCATGTTGGGGGGACAGTGAAGGATGTCCTGCTCACCCTGGGGTGCCCATGAAGTGACACACTCCCAGAGTGAGAGCAGCACCCACAGGCCAGGGACTGGGTCAGGAGGACAAAGGTGACGAAGGTGCAGACTGGGCTGGGGACGAGTGCCCTGAGTGGCCCCAGCAGCAGCAGGGGTGTCCAGCAAAGCCATTCCCCCTCCCCTGAGAGCAGGCTCGGAGCTTCCCAAGCCCCAGCTGTGCCCCCTGCTGCCCACTGCCCTGGGCTGGGGGCTGGCACTGGGGTCCCCTCAGGTGGCACCAGGCCCAAAGAGGGCAAAGCCAGGAGGATTTTGGGGCTGAGCAGTGCCCAGCCTGTTTGGCACAGGTGAAAATGAGGCCCAGGTTGTGAGACCAGGAGTGGGACACAGGGACAAGGAAATGTCACTCTGCCACAGGGCTCTAACAAGGAGAGCAGTGTGGGATCCCAAATCTGCCCCCCTGTGATGGCCAGAACTTGGGTTTACCCCAACCCCTGTACCTGTGTCCCCCTGGCTGGAGGGAAGCTGTGACAACAGGAGGATGGCCACGACCCTGGGGAGCTCAGAGAGAGAGGGCACGGCTGGGACTGCCCGTGGGGTGAGCTGGGCTCCCCTGCCACCCCACAGCCCTGCAGGGAGGCTGGCAGAGGGGAAGGTGAGCCCACAGGGCCAGCACGGCTCTCTCCATCCTCTGGTATCCCTGCCCTCGTGCCTGCCAGCTGCAGGCTCTGGTTTTCCATCCCGGGCTGGAAGCTGTGAGTTTCTGCCCCAGGCTGGCTGCATCACGGTGATCCCGATGTCCTGGGGACCTGCAGAGCCCCACAGCCTGGCAGCCCTGAGCCCTTGGCTGTGCCCAGGGCTGGGCAGGAGCAGCACGGCCCCCTCAGCCTGCAGGTGCTGCCAGAGGGTGCTGGGGGATCCTCTCCACGGATCCTGCAGGTGCTGCCAGAGGGTGCTGGGGGATCCTCTCCATGGATCCTGCAGGTGCTGCCAGAAGGTGCAGGGGGATCCTCTCCACAGACCCTGCAGGAGCCACAGCAGGCTTTGCCTGCCATGTCTTAACCAGAAGGCACAGAAATCACCAGCAGTGACCCTGCGAGCAGCTGGAGCTCTGCAGGAAGGTCTGAGACTCCACTCAGTCCCTGGCCAGGTGAGAGATCTTCACCCGAGCTGCTGCTGGGCTTCCTCTGAGCTCGCAGAGAGAGTCCCCAGCCCGGCCGTGTCCCCAGTGACACCACCCTGGTGTCCCAGCCGTGTCCCCAGCGACACCACCCTGGTGTCCCAGCCGTGTCCCCAGTGACACCACGGCGGTGTCCCAGCCGTGCTACACGTCCCTCCTGACCAGCAGCAGCCAGGGCAGCACGGCGGCCAGCATGGCCACGGTCAGCACGAGCATCACGGCCAGCGCCATGGGCGACTGGCAGCACTGCAGCCCCAGCGCCGGGCCCGACGCCTCGGACGGGGACCCCGAGGTGCTCCCGGGCCGGCCGCAGTCGTGCGCGGCCGCCAGCGGCGCGCCGTGCTCGCTGATGATGAAGATGTGGGCCTCCCGTGGCAGCCCCGCCGGGCAGCGCTCGGGCAGCACGAAGTGGCCGGGCACCACCAGCGCGTTGCTGGCCTCGCTCTTGGCCAGCCGCGACAGCGAGGATGGCGACAGGGGCACCTCCAGCTCCGCGCCCCGGGGCGGCCACGCAGCCTTCCTCCTGCTGAGGAAGGTGACGAAGCGGCACACGGGGCACACGATGCTGCTCTGCAGGTGCCCGTCCAGCTTGGCAGACAGCAGGCACTTCACCAGGCAGTCGTGGCAGAAGGTGTGGCCGCAGCTGAGCCGGCGGTGCGTGGCCTCCAGCGGCTGCAGCCTCTCGTAGCACACGGGGCACTCGGCAGGGGCAGCATCCTTGCTGGGGGGGGTCTCCGACATCCCTGCCGTGATAAATACTGGTATAAATTCGTGCTCATAGATATATATATATATAATAAATATCGTATATGTTATGAAAAGCACCAAGGCTTAGAAGGAGATAGCCACTGCAGAAACTGTGGAACACCCAAACCATCATCGGCCGATAACGACCCCAGATAGCCGAGGAGAGCCCTGGACTGGCATTTGAATGATTAGTTCCCAAAACTTGGAATTCACATGTATCTGCTCCCAGACTCTATATTCCAAAGACAGCTTTGTCCGATCAGAGACGGGATTCTTCCAACACGGACAAGAGACAGAAAACTACATGAATATTCAGGTAAAAGAATAGAACAAAAGAAATTTTGGTCCGGGCAAGAAAAACAGTATATAGTCAAGGCTCACACTGTGCCATCCCAGGCTCACACTGTGCCATCCCAGGCCCAGACTGTGCCATCCCAGGCTCACACTGTGTCACCAGTGCCCCTGTGCCCAGCTGCTGGGCATTCCCATCCCAGGCTGGAACCTGCCAAGGACAGGGAGCTGCTCCGATCCCAGAGACCTCTGAGGGCTCTGGGGGAGCCTGGAGCAGCCAGGCTGGTGGAGCAGGGAGGTGACACGGCCAGGGCAGGCAGCAGACACCCAGAGCAGGCTCCTTCCAGGCTGCTGGGGGATGGCCTGGGCTGGTGGCCAGGTCATGGTGGTGGCCAGTCCATGCTGGTGGCCAGGCCATGGCATCTCCAGGCCATGCTGGTGGGCAGGCCATGGCAGCTCCGGGCCGTGGGCACGCTCAGGCTGGAGCTGGGCACAGCCAGCCCGTGCCAGGGTTAGTCAGAGAGGAGGGAAGGCAGAGCCAGCCCAGCCCAGCCCGGAGCAGCATGGGGTGCTCCGAGCCCCCGATGGGGCAGAAGCTCTGCCCTGCCTCTCCCCGGGCACAAAGGGAGAGGGCAGAGAGGGGAAGGGAGAGGGGAGAAGCTCACTCAGCCCTCCCAGACCAGCTCAGCAGCCTGACCTTCCCAAAGCTGCAGGTTTTTCCAGCCCTGGTGGCATTTTCAGACCCCGCCCAGCCTGCTCCCCTTTTCTCACGCACGGCGGTGCCACCGACACCCTGCCAGCCCCTCTGGGCTTCTGCCAGCCCCGGCCGGGCTGCCCTCCTCCGGCAGGGCTGTCACCCCGGCCGCGGGGACAGCAGGACCCCCTCCCCGGCTCGGAACAGACCCAGGCTCCTGCCCCGCTCAGGATGGGTCAGGGATGGCTGCTCCCTCCCTCACCCCCTGCCAAAAATCCCCTTACCTGCTGTGGGGCCCCAGGGCAGCGGCCCCTCCATGCACGGCTGTCCCCAGGCACGGGGGACAGCTCCGGGACACCCTGGGGACACCGCGACACCCTTGGGACACCGGGCACCGGCGGCGTCTGAGGAGGGCGCAAAGGCTGGAGCGGGACAGGGCAGGGACAGGCAGGGACAGGCAGGGACAGGGCAGGGACAGGCAGGGGCAGCTCCCAGAGAGTGAATGCGGAGGAACCCGTTCACCTTTAAAGGGCTCCGCTGGCCCGCCTGGCCAGGGAGTGGGCGAGGAGCTGGCGTCAGGGACAGGGACAGGGACAGGGCCAGGGACAGGGACAGGGACAGGGGACAGGGACAGGGACAGGGACAGGGCCAGGGATAGGGCCAGGGACAGGGACAGGGACAGGGACAGGGACAGGGCCAGGGATAGGGCCAGGGACAGGGACAGGGACAGGGACAGGGAGAGGGACAGGGACAGGGCCAGGGCCAGGGCCAGGGACAGGGCCAGGGCCAGGGCCAGGGACAGGGACGGGGACGGGGACAGGGACAGGGACAGGGACGGGGACAGGGACAGGGACGGGGACAGGGACGGGGACGGGGACAGGGACAGGGACAGGAGGCGCTGCTGCCCGCCGCGGTGTCCCGAGCGATGCTCCGGGGTCACTGCAAGGAACCCGGCACTGCAGGGGTGCCGGGAGCCCTGGGGCTGCAGGGCAGGGTGAGCTGCACATCCTGCAGCGGCTCCTGCAGCGGGGCTGGGCCCGCACACCGCTGCCTTCATCCTCCTCCATCCTCACCCCCAGTGCCCGTTCCTCACCCTGCCTTCATCCTCCTCACCCCAGTGCCCATCCCTCACCTGTCCCTCATCCTCCTCCCTCCTCATCCCCTCTGCCCGTCCCTCACCCTGCCCTCATCATTCTCACACCCAGCCCTCCCAAACCCCTCCAGCCGTGTTCAACCTGCAAACCCGAGGTTTTACAGGAGTTCCTGCCCGGCTCATTCTCCTCCCTCCCTTCCCAGCCCCAGCTGAAACACAGCATTGCTGGGAATGAGGGGGAGGCAGGAAAGAGTAAATCCATGTCTGATCCCAGCCCAGGGGGATATTCCCAGCTGGAGAAGAAGATCCCTGAAGCAAAATTAATTTTCCAGGGCTGCACTGGTGGAGGGTCCAGGAGTCCTGGGCCCTGGGTAATATCCACTTCCATGCTGTCAAAATAAACTCAAACACCTGGAAAGGGTGGAAAGCTTCAAGGGAATCCAAGCTTTTAAAAGAAGCACAAGCTTATCCACCTTCCCCATGCTTGCTTTGAATTAGAGTGGGAAAATCAGTGTTTTTTCCTTCTGGGGTGTCCATTCTGCTCCTCAGGCACCTGGCAGGATGGACCCCACCACGAGGACACCACTTCAGCCAAGGCAGCCCAAAATGCACAGGGAAAGCTCCTCGTTCAGCTTCTCCTGGATGGTTTCCGTGGTGCCCAGGAGATGGTGCTCTCGGATGTGCTTCGGCACCAGAAAACCCTGCCGGCAGCTCTGAAGGCAAGCCCGGGGTGCCAGGGTGAGGGGGTGGCAGTCCCCACCAGCTGGGGTGCTGCCCTTCCCACCAGGATCGAGCTCTTCCCGCTGCCTTCTGATGTTTACATTTTTCTAACCAAATTTTTCACACGTTTATGTAAACAACTTGGATCCGATGGCCTTGGACAACCCTCCAAGACAGGGATTAGCGAGGAAATCCCTGCTTTTCCCCAAAGACCAGCCCAGTTCTCCTGCCGAACCTTCCCTGCTGCCTTCCCAAGGTAATTCCCAGGTGTGCCTGCACCTTGAAGGGCCCCAGGTCTGGACCCACAATTCCCGGCCCACAACTGATCCCCCAGGGCCCCACACGCCCCCTGTCTCCCCTTGGGTCTCCCTGCACCAGGACAAAGCCCCCTGCCCACAAACCCTCCCACCCTCACAAGGGCACCTCAAGGGTCTTGCATGTGGGGTGGGATCCTCACACTAAGGTTGCCAGCAAGTTCTCTATGGCTATAATTAATTTCTCCATAGCTATTATTAATTTCAGAATTTAACACAGCTGTACTATAGATCATCTCCATCCCTAAAGGCCAGCCTACCTTTGCTATGACCCTGGGGGCTCATGAATGAGGCCATAGGTTATCACCACCATCACCATCATCATCATCATCAGTGTTTTGGAAGGTAAGAGCAGCACATCTCTGTGAATAAGGGCTTTCCAAACATTTTTTATCACCTCACTGTACCCAAAGGGACACAACTCCTTTTTTCCTTCAATAAATCAGCGGTTGTGTGGGGGTGAACGTCCTGGCTGAGAGACTGTGGAGATGATTTGGAGGTGTGGGACACCCCAGCTCACCCCCAGTCCGTGTCTGTGCCCGTTCCGGGAGGGTTGCTGGTTGCTGGGGCGGCGGGTGCAGCATTGTGTGGCCGCTAATGCTGAGTGACTGCTCCTTTGTGCTGCCCGCACACGGGAACGGCCCCGCACAATGCGGGACAGCGGGGCCCCTCACAGCAAGCAGCCCCTCAAAGGCACGCTTAACCAGGCGGGCACCCTGGGAGCCAGCCCCCAGCGCCCAGCCTTTGTCCCCAGCCGGCTCCGAGAGGTGGCCCTGGTGGCACTGCTGGCATCCGTGCCTGGCGCTGGGAAAAGGGGCACGAGGAGCACAGGTTAAAGGATCCCGCTGGAGGGAAGAGAAACCAGGGTGTGCTGCTCCGTGGGTCCGTGGCAGATTAATTCCCTGGGGGATTAATTTAGGGTTGAATAGACACAGCCTTGGCTTTTCTGTAAAGGAGAGCCCTCGCTCACAGAGCTCATTCCCAGCTGCCTCCCAAGGCAGGATCTGTGTTCTGATTGCAGATCCAGCACAGCGAGGCACCCCAAAGCTCCTGGTGTGGAGCAGCACTGACCCCTTGTTCCCACGGACAGGGAGCCAGGGGTGCAGACAGATGTGCAGAGATCCCCTCTGATCCTCCCCAGTGACACCTCAGCGTGGCTCATTCCCCTGCAGGACACTCCTGTCCCCTCGGAGGGGCTGCTCTGCCATTGGAGACTGAGGAAAAGGCTGCACCAAGACCATGTGGGACACTCCATGCAGACATTTCCTCCTGGTTTCTGAAGTGCAATGGGAACACCAGGCAGCCAGCCTGCTCCAGACTGCAGCGTGGCCTCCTCAGAGCATCAGCAAGGGTGCCCAGCCTGCCCCAGAGCTCAGCACCTCCAGCTCTGGCTCTGCCCAGCCTGCCCCAGAGCTCAGCACCTCCAGCTCTTCCCACCTCGGAGCAGCTCAGGATCCTGGGAAAGGAGGAATTCTCCCAAATGGACTGCCAGGTTCTGCACAGCCACCTCGATGTCCCTCCCTGCCCTCCAGAGGGGTGTCAGCGAGCCAAGGGCATGGCCAGTGGAAGGGACATGGTGACAGCCGGGTGGGTTGGTCCAGGCTGTGGCAGCACCAGTACCACCTCTGGGAGCAGAGAGCCCAGGGAAGGCTGTGCTCCCAGGAGGGATGAGGCGGCTCCAAGGGCAGTTTGTCACCAAGGGATGACAGCTCCCGGGACGCTGTGGCTTCCCCTCGTGGCACAGCTCTGATTCAGGTGTCCCGGGGCCGTGCTGTGCTGCACGTCCTGCCCGCTGCCCTGACGTGGCTCAGCAGCGTTTGTGGCCTTGTGCAACACCCAGGTGACACGGGGTGACCCAGAAAGGCCCGGGCAGGGGTCAGGGGACAGCCAGGCTGGCTGGACACAGAGATGTGTGCTCTTCATCCTCGGGCTGTGTGCAGCAATCCACGGGAAATGCAGCGTGGATAGCCCCATGTACGAAAGGATGGGACGCAGGGACAGAGGTGGCCGTGGTGGCAGCGTGCCCACGGAGGGCACCGGCTGTCCCAGATGCGGTTTGGGACACGGCCTGGGCCGGCAGCACCGGCCCGCGGCATCCCGGCTGCCCCGCCCGCCGCTAATGACAGCCCGGCAGCTAATTACAGGGCAGGGAATTAAACAGCAAAGGCAGCCGAGTATCGGGGCAGTGCCAGGGAGCTGCGGGGCACGGCCCGCCCGGGGAGCCCTGCAGAGCAACCCGAGCAGCCCGGGGACGGCGGGGACACGGGGCACACGCGGGGCACCGGGGCAGCCCCGCCGTGCCCAGGAAGCGGGCACGATGGGCAGGGACAGCGAGGGGAATGTCAGCCCTCCTGAGCTCAGCTCGGGCCAGCGGGGGTCCCTGTGGAGTTCCAAAACCTCTGTACACGGAGTTCCCTGCTCCGGGGACAGAGAGGCTGAGCGGGGAGAGAGGCAGCGGAGGAAGGAGGAGGAGCTGCCCCTGCTCCAGGGCTCGCCCGGAGGGAGGGAGGGATGTCCTAACCCCGAGGGATGGATGGATGTCCTCATCCCCGAGGGATGGATGTCCCGAGCCCCGAGGGACGGATGTCCTGATCCCGAGGGATGGATGTCCTGAGCCCCAGGGATGGATGTCCTGAGCCCCAGGGATGGATGTCCTGATCCCGAGGGATGGATGTCCCGAGTCCCGAGGCAGGGATCGTGTCCGTGTCCGTGTCCGTGTCCGCGTCCGTGTCCGTGCCTGGGTGAGCCCCTGCCGGGGTCACCGGGACAGAGCGGCGGAGGGCGGGCAGGGAGCAGCTCCCGAAGGCCGCAAAGGGAGGAGGGCGGGACCACCGCACCCCGGGCACTGCCGGGGGGCTGGGGGCGAGCGGGGAGATCCCCTCTCCGTGCGGGACGGGGACTGGGCGAACGGGATGGGAACCAGCGGCGGCACCGGGGAGCGACACCGGGGAGCGACACCGGGGAGCGGCACTGGGGGCTGCACCGTGGGACAAGAAGCGGAGAGCGACACCGGCGATTGACACCGGGGAGCGGCACTGGGGATTGACACCGGGGACAGACACCGGGGACAGACACCGGAGAGCGGCACCGGGGATTGACACCAGGGACAGACACCTGGGACAGACACCGGGGACTGACACCGGGGACAGACACCGGGGACTGACACCGGGGACCGGCACCGGGGACAGACACCGGGGATTGACACCGGGGACAGACACCGGGGACAGACACCGGGGATTGACACCGGGGACAGACACCGGGGACAGACACCGGGGACCGGCACCGGGGAGCGGCCC